ACAAGAGGATCTAAGGAGCAGGAGAACCAAGGTAAACAGAGACATCATGAGCAGAAACAGTAGACTTGTGGCTTAAAAACAAAAATGAAAAGCAGCTCGTGCACCGTGACCACTAACCAGAAGGAAGATTTCTAGAACAGGGGTCTCCAACCTTGGCCACTTTAAGACTTGTGGACTTCAACTCCCAGAGTTCCTCAGCCAGCAAAGCTGGGAGTTGAAGTCCACAAGTCCACAAGTCTTAAAGTGGCCAAGGTTGAAGACCCCTGTTCTAGAATACAGATAGTCCTCGACTTACAACAGTTCGTTTAGTGACCATTCCAAGTTACAACGGCACTGAAAAAAGTGACTTATGACCATTTTTCCCACGACTGTTGCAACTTCCCCATGGTCCCATGATCAAAATTCATATGCTTGACAATGAAATCATACTTATGACGGTTGCAGGGTCCCTTTTGCGACCTCCTAACAAGGAAAGTCAATGGGGAAGCCAGATTCATATAACAACCTTAACTTGTCAACTGCAGTAATTCACTTAACAACCGTGGCAAGAAAGGTCGTAAAATGGGACAAAACTCATTCAACAAATGTTTCGCTTAACAACAGAAATTTTGGGCTCAATTGTGGTTGTAAGTCAAGGACTACCTGTACTGCATCTTCACAGTTTTCTCTCTAAAAGCTACTTCTTCTCCACTCCAGGTGCCACTAATAAAACAATGTAATCTTGGCCAATTCACCTTTCTCTGTTATGGCCTCTACTGCACCTTAATAAGTAATTTTATTAAATATTACAATTTACAACAAGAAAATTTTTTTTAAAAAAAAAAACGGCAGTGATTCCCTTAACAACTGTGGCAAGAAAGGTCATAAAATGACCCAAAAATTCACTCAACAAATGTCTCACATAACAAGAGAAATTCTGGGTTCAATTGTGGCCGTAAGTCGAGAACCACCTGTATATGCAACCTAGCTGCCAAGTGCCGGAATTGCAGTCATGTTGGTGGTTAGGCCGATTGTTAACTGGACTGGATTTTTTTCAGCACTATTGTAACTTTGATCGGTCATTAAATGAATAATCAGTCTTACGTCGAGGACCCTGCTGGACTAAACCTCACTTAACTTTTCAAGACCAGCTTGAGAGCTGCCACCTCGCCGGATGAGTCTTTCTAGAGTCACTGAGGTACTTTGGGACTTCAAAACATGTCCTGGGAAAAGGAAACCTTTTATTTCATGTGGTCAGCATGGGTCAAGCTTCTCTCAAGGGTCTTTACTTTCCTAAACTTCAATTTCAAGAATCAGGCACAACTGGCTCAAGAGGATTCGTCAGAAGGGCTTTCAAAGAAAACAAACATGGGAATATCCAGCTACTGTGGAAGATAAAAGTAAAATTATTTCTCCCTAGAACCTACCCACCCACCCACAGGTCCAACTTCCACTGGAGTTTACAATCAGGATGGGGGGAGGGGGAAACTGTACTAATGGTCACCCCAAAGTCCCATTTGCATCATCCACAACCATCTCTCTAAGCAACTGTCATTGCCGTGTAAACACAACAATAATGACACAGTCTTAACCCCTTGCCGGGAATTTAAATTATTTTTAAAAACGAACACCGAATATAACCACAACCAAATAATCTCTGGAACAGGATCCTTTCACACAGCTCTTTCCCATATTGTGCTATCACTAAAATGAAGATAAATGGAGAGTGGGGTAAAAGAGAAATTTCTCTTCCTTGTCTTATCATCACCCTTGATCAAACTGCCATGAACTCTTGCTCATTAAAGCTACCAGTTGCCATAAGTTACCTGGTCTAACCCTGACTCCGTCCACTTTGCACAAACAGAGCAGGGGAGCGGTTACCCCAAGTAACCTTAGCCTAACAATCCGGTCTCAAATATCCAAAGCAATTTCTAAAAAAAAAAAAAAAAACCCCACAGCGCTAGAGTGAACCGTGTGCACGAAAGGAGCTGCTTTTCAAAAGATGTCACGCGAGAAAGAAGGTTGCAAGCAACACACTCAGCTCCGTTTGGGAGAGCAAGTGTGCACAGCAGTCAGTCAAGGGAGCGTAACACTCTCTGTTCAGAAGCTGCTCCCTCCACGGAAGAGCTTGATGCGCCTATCAGTTCTATGGAAGATGTGACTCACTCAGGGCATTTCACTTCCCCATCCAGGAGAACAGCCGAAGCTCCTATGCCTTCACATTTATAAACTGGTTTTTGCAATGCAGAAGGGCGTTTCTTGATTTCCTATGTAATAAACATCCTCATTTTTATAGGAAGACGTATCTGAGAAATGCAGCAAACCCTCCGACATTCCAAGCTGTAACTTGAAAATCCTCAAATCCTGCATTACATCACAACTTTGAATTCTTTTGCACGTTGCTAAGACCTTTTCGCTGAAAACCACCCACTGCCCCCTTTTTCTAGGAAAGCAACCCCTCTTCTTTTCTTAGCTGTGTTCTCCTTCCAATTCTTTCGAAGGTTCTTTAGAACCAGATCAGACAATTGGTCCAAGCCAGTAAGCCAACAGGAATTTTGGCACCACAAAATTTCCTCCGCAGTGGGCTTAGTCAGTCATGAAGTTTTACTGGATTTACTGCTCAGTAAATATTCTGCTCAGAATATTCCTAGGCTGCTCACTGGTATTGAGAAGTTTACCATAAATGCAACTGGTGGAGAGAATAGAAGCTTCCCTGGAAATAGAAATGTCTCAAAAGAGTTGCTGAACAAAGAGCCAATGGGGAGTAGTGGGGAAGGTGTTGGAAGAGGGGCAGGGGTGGACTTCAAAAATTTTAGCAAGGGGTTCTCTGCCCAGTTGCTGGGTTGGCGTGGCCATGGTGGGCGTGGCCTAGTCAGCCTCCTGCACCATGGTGTGGGGCGTTTTTGCCCTCCCTGGGCTCTGGAGGATTTCCTCGAGCCACTGGGAGGATGAAAACAGCCTCCCCAGGCTCTGGAGGCCCTCTGGAGGCCCGAACTTCCAGTAGGCCTGTTTTTCGTCCTCCCTGAGCCTCTGTGCATGCCCTGTACTTACCTGCATCCAAAATGGGTTGGGAGGGGAGGGGTTGGGCGGGGCCAGCCAAGAGTGGGATTTGGGGGTTCTCCGAACTGCACAGAATCTTAGCTAGTGGTTCTCCCGAACCCCTGCGAACCCTCAGCAGCCCACCCCTGAAGAGGGGAGATCTGGATTCAAGTCCCGTCCAAAGGTGCTTTTTTTCAAAAGGCAACTGGATTTTGTTTCTCCTAGAAGACGTTTCATCCAAGAAGCTTCTTCATTTCTTCAGTCAGAACTGAAGAAGCTTCTTGGATGAGATGCAAAATGTCTTCAAGGAAAAATAAAATCCAGTTGCCTTTTGAAAAAGCACTTTTGAGACAACCATGACCTGGATGACTGAGAATCTCCATAGACATTCAAGTCCTTCCTTGACCACAGAACCTCTAGGTATGAGTTCGAGTCAAATATTCGCTCTCATCCCATATATACATTATACAAATATATTTAAATGTTAGTATATTTATAATATAAATATTATACAAATACAATGTCACCTATGCAAGCCAGCAACTCTCAGTCCACCTTTTTTTAAAAATAAAAACGCAGTGCTAGATAGTCCACCTCCTGAACAAAAAGCCAGGATAAAATTAAGAAACATATAAGTTCTATTTTGTTCTATCATTCGGATTTACTCAAAGGTCTTCTACAGCAAATTTCCTGCTAGGGTGAAAAGTTTCAGGACACCTTCCTGAGATCGCTCTCCCCATCTTCTTTGCTTCTCAAGAGATGGTCTCAGAAGAAATGTCCAAGAGCCTTGCCCTTTGAGAAGGGCAAGCTTTGAGAAATTAATTGGAGAATCTCTCCTTCCCCTGGGGGGGAAAAACTCATTTAAATGGCTTGCCCATATTCTCTGCTCACAGATTTGAGCAAGGGAGAGTCTGGGCAGCCACCATAACAGCCTGATGGACTTTGTGTTTCTTCTTCTGGCTTTTGGTCAGAGGAAGAAGAGGTCCAAGGAGAGAATTTCAAAGGCCTTTATACCCAGGTTCAGATGGAAACTGTTGCTTTGCAACCTATCAGCTTCCTATTTCAGGTTTTTGGGGTTTTTTTTCAATTGTGTCTGATTCCCAAAGAATGCCTGGACAAGTCCCTGCAGTTTCCTTGGCAAGATTTTTCAGAAATGGTTTGCCATTGCATCTTTCCTGAGAGAAAGTGACTGGCCCAAGGCAGGGGTGAAATTCAATGTTAATGTTAAATGCAGCAGAGAGAATGCTAATGGAGTTGCTGCTCCCTTTATGGTTCCCTCCTGGCCTCCTCCTGCCTGGGGACTATCTTAAAGGGACAGCCTGCAGCATCTCCGTTCTGAATGGAGGGAGAAAAGTTAGCATTCTCTCTGCTGCATTTAACATTGAATTCTGTGGAATATCGAGCGGCCGGATGAGATGAGTGGCGACCAGCCAGCCGTGGGTGGGGCCAAGGAGGATGATTACTACCAGTTTGGCGAACTGACGCCCAAAATCCCTGGCGGTTTGCCTGAACCGGTCCGAACCGGTAGGATTTAACCCCTGGCCCAAGGTCACCAACTGGCTTCATGCCCAACCTTCTATTTCTACCTTGGTGGGTAGAAACACTACACGTTTAACCACTACACCAAACTGGCTCTCCCACTTAAATTCAAACTAAATCTAAAACAATTAAAGGTAGGAAGGGAAACGGGGATATCACATCAGAGAAATTTGCCAACTCTCCAGAATCTGTGGTGACCCAGTGGTTAGAATGCAGCATTGCAGGCTGAGTCTGCCCACAATCTGGAGTTCGATCCTGACCGGCTCAAGGTTGACTCATCCATCCTTCCAAGGTCGGTAAAATGAGGACCCAGATTGTTGGGGGACAAGAGGCTGACTCTGTAAACCCCCTGGAGAGGGCTATAAAGCACAAAGGGGAGGTATATAAGTCTGTTAAGGCTACTGCTATTCTAAAGCAGAAAAATAAGAAACAATAGGGCTTACCAGATCTGTCCCACGTTAATTAAGGAGAGGTAGATGATCCACACAGCAGTCATGAGAACCATGTTGGCACATCCAGTGACCAGGACAAATGCCGAGATGGCCAAACCAATGAGAGCGAAGGCATCAAGGATGCTGTCCATACTGGACCAATCCAAGAACCAGATCAGAGTTGGGGCATAGCTTAAAGTCTCCATGTTTATTCTGCCCTTAAAATGGCGCTTCACACTCTCCAAGTACAGCTTGCATGGCAGAAGCCCTCGATCACCAATAAGGGCTTTGTTTTGATGGTAGGCAACCAGAAAGGCAACAGCTGGAAGGAACAACAACAATAGTTGAGGAGGAATCCAAAAAATTAACAAGCTACGTTTGAACAGTAGAACCTCTGTAGGAATTGAACAACATAGAATAACAGAATTGAAAGGAACCTTGTAGGTCATCCAATTCCATCTTAGTCTTAGTCTTAGTCTTAGTCTTAGTCTTAGTCTTAGTCTTAGTCTTAGTCTTAGTCTTAGTCTTAGTCTTAGTCTTAGTCTTAGTCTTAGTAGTCCTAGTCCTAGTCCTAGTCCTAGTCCCACTGTGATTGTATCAATGACACAGCTGGCTCAAGTTGGAAACCAAATGTCTGTCTCCTCTCTGGAATTGTGACCCCTGAAACAAACACATCTGTCTTGTATAGGCTTGGTTTCAATCACCAGCTCCATCCAAACATCAATGCCTGCAAACAGGCACTCAAGGGAGCCACACTGTAAGGATGTCAATGGAGAAAAAGATCTGGCTGCCATCAACATAATAGCAGCATCTTACTCCAGGTCTGAAAATTTGCCCCAACAATTCCATACAGATATTGAGAAATACCAAAGATGCAATAGACTTGTGGAGGATGCCACCAAAAAGCTCCCATTTTGAGAAGCAACGGAAGCCAATCATCTCCAACAGAAAACCATCAGAAACCTACCTGAGAGACAAGGATAAAGCAAATTCCTCCTATTATTGGATGGAGATCATAGTTTGTGGCCTCAAAAAGTGTTGAGAAGTCAAGAAGTCATGCTTTCTTTGCTGAACCCCACCAAAGATCAAGTCAACTTTGCATCCACTATGAAATTAATCAAGATTATGGATTGCTTAGGGGTAAGGGTACAGATTTCATGCCTTGGTAAATGGTAATTTTTGAACCCATATCCAGCTTTACAATTCTGTCTTTACCTTTAAATTATCTTGACTGAAAGCAGGAAATGCAGGAATGTCTTCCGAGCAGGTAACTTTTTGGGACTTTCTGAAATCTTCAGTTCTCTATTTCATTTATCGTTACAACGTACTACTTACCGATCTTGTTTGGATTATCAGATAAAATGACACTTTATTTAACCATGGTTATTGAAAAAAATCATAATTGTTCACAGAACATGCAAAGCCATCAACTGTAGTTTGCAAAACACAACAGGTGAGGTCCTGTAACCCAGGGGTGAAATGCTCCCGGTTCAGACCGGATCGCCCGATCCAGTAGTGATGGAGGCGGGTGGTTCAGAGAACCGGTAGCAAAAATCCCTGCGCCCCCCCCCATGCCCAGCTGAGCCATGCAATCATAAGAGGCTTTTTTTTTACTTTTAAAAGCATTTTTTCTACAACCTCTTCGGCTGAAAAAATGCTTTTAAAAGTTTTTTTAAAAAGCCTCTGATGATCGTGCGGCTCAGCTGGGATCGTCAGAGGCTTTTAAAAGCATTTTTTTCTGCAACCTCTTCGGCTGAAGAGGTTGTAGAAAAAATGCTTTTAAAAGTTAAAAAAAAAAAAAGTTAGCCACGCCCGCCCAGTCACATTACCCCCACCACCACCAAGCCACGCCCACAGAACCGGTCGTAACAAATTTTACATTTCACCACTGCTGTAACCTAAATCAAATCTAAATCATGGCTTAGCATAATGCGTGAATCCGACCCAAAACCAAGGCATTGGTCTTACCTTTAAGTCTAGTTATAGTTTGGGCCCCATCTACCTGAGAGGATGAACCTCCCATGCTGCAGACAAAAATCAAGAGAAAGGCAAGCATGTGGTTCATTCAGGTGTGACTCTGTATTGTGGCAATCCAACCGTGATATAGGTACAGTATTTACTTTTATTGTTTATAAAAAAAAAATTAAACCACCCAGTTGCCCAAATTGTTGAGATGGTTTACAATCAAACGCTCTAAAAGGTATCATTTGAGTAAAAACTTATATAAGTAAAATAAAATAAAATGAAATGAAAAATGAAAACACCATATAAACTAGCAGCAGCAAGAGAGACTTTCAAAATCTAAAATGACACCAATTAAAGACAATTAAAAAGCTTGTTTAAAAACCTGGGAATACAGTGCTAAAGTGATGCGAATATGGGGACCACATGAGCCTCTGGCAAAGACATTTCATATGTGGGGTGCCATCATATAAAAAGCTTTACCTTTGTAGAGGTCCACCTCACCTCCTTAATGGGGAAGTCCCCATTAGATAAGGCCCAGGTGAGAATATACAGGTGAGAAGAGCACTTGATGTATGTAAATCATAGATTGGATTTTATTATGCAGTCCAATCTGTAGATTGCCAAGACTTTTAGAATTGCTTTGTCCTTGCCTTCTTAGGGCTGAAGGAGAGGGACTGGCTCAAGGTCATCTAGCTCAGCGGTCACCAACTGCGGGCCGCCAAAAGAACATTTTGGCGGCCTGCAGAAAAATTATTTGCATTTTTTATATTGCACTAAATCAGGGGTCCTCAAACTACGGCCCCTGGGCCAGACACGTGCAATGAACTTTTGTGTTGCTGCAGAGAATCTCCCCCTTCAAGGTCTTTTTGTGTGGGTCAGAGGGGGGGCAGAAATTCCGACTTGGGGTCTGCTTCGGCCTCCTGGTGCAGGGCTTTGGGCAAAGGCGGGAGGAAAGTGCCACTGATGGCGAAGAGCTGAAGGGCCTCGTTCCAGTGGGACAGCATCATGGCCTGGAACTGGCTGACCATCTCAGCCCACTGAGCCTCCAGGCGTACCTGGTACCTGGCCTTGCAGTCCTGCAGGTCTTCCCTCTGCTTGGAAAGCCTATGCTCCTAGTCCTCAGTGAGGTGCTTCGGCTGAGCCTCCTTCTTGGTCAGATCCAATTTGAACTGAGCTGTTTTGCCAACTCTTTCTCATGGTGGCTGCTTAGATCCAACAACTGCTTCCTGTTGGGGCCCTAAGGAGCCTGGGCAGGGAGGCAAGGAGTGGCTGGGAGGGGAGGGGCGAGTAGAGTCTGGCAAGGCACTCCTTGATATGAGTGACATTGAGTTGGCCACACCCACCCGGTCATATGGCCACTTAGCCACACCCACCCAACCAGTCATTAGGCAGATCATATTAGTGGTCCACGGGATTTAAAATCATGAATTTAGTGGTCCCCGAGGTCCAAAAGGTTGGTGAACCCTGATCTAGCTGGCTTCCAAGTCTAACTAAAGACTAGAATTCACAACTTTCCAACTTCTAGCCTGGTACCTTAACCACTACACCAAACTGACTCTTACAGTCCCATATCAGTATGCTTATAATCAATCCAATAATTGTACCATTTGCTTTAGATGATCAATTACGTTAACCAGGTTACCCTTTTAAACTGACCCAATACATACAGATACAGATACACACATATGTATACATATGTAGACAGACAGACAGACAGATAGATAGATAGATAGATAGATAGATAGATAGATAGATAGATAGATAGATAAAAGCTATAGGAAGTCATATAAAGAGAACATATACAATCACACACTTGAATTAAGTTTGGAAGAAGGGTTGCCTGAATGCATCAGTTAAAATCTTCTGCCTGAATAAATAAAAAACTGTCATCAAAAGCAGGGATAAATAACAAAGAGGCTGCATGAAAGCTCTGAACTCAGCTTTTGTGGCCTCTCAAATATCTCAGGGCTAGGTTTACTGGCACCCCATGAGAAATCAAACTGTGGTTACTTGCAGGTTTTTTTTAATGGAGAACAACTAAAAACATACCCCCATCAGCAGCCAATAAGCCTTGGAGAAGAAATGAGACATCTGTAATCTGTTCATATTAGAAACGTCATCACTTGTCCATGTGGAACCTTTGGCCATCCCATCATAAGGTATCCGACTGAACCCAGGACCTTCCTTCATTTCAATTCCTTCAAAATCATCTTGTTTAAAAATAAAAATTCACTTCCTTGGTATGGCAGAGGAGGGTCATGTCTTCCACAACCTAATTAACTTTGATTAACATGGCAATTTGCTAAGGAGATTTTCTTGCAAGTGGCAATCAAAACCTACCTCAAAATTGCTGCCCTACCCGTCTAAACTGCTCATCAGCTGCAAAAATGTCCAAATTAGACCCCAGGCTTAAGTGCAAACATAAACAAGAGAACAGCAAATTAGGGAAAAATACACATTGCCAAAATGGGTAAGGGAAAAAAAAAAAGTGTGTACACTGTATTTACATGCAGGTTACACAAAAGAAACTTCAATGCTGACACCAAGTCTTTCTTCCAAAATAACAAGAAGCAACCTCGGGAATAAATAAAATATTGAGGTAAAAAGGTGGAAGGCAGATCGCGTGCCTCTTAACAAGATCTAATCGGATAAATGAGGTCTAAGAGGATAAAAGCTTCATCCAAATTGATCTCGCCTTCCTCCAAATCTAAGGGCAGATAGCAGTCATGACAATATTTTTAGTGAGGTAAAAAAATTAGCCGAAAGTCCTCTGTTTTTCATTCAAAGGGCATGATTCTTTCCAGCAGCCCATTGGTGGAATTAATTCCTTCAAACAACTGATATGGCTGCCCAACATTGCAACTCCAGCATTTGGGGGAGCTGCCGAAGTACAGAAGCTTAAAAAATCCACATTACAATCCAAAACATTACTGGGCAACCAGGAACTCATTTTCATATTCCTCCTCTGCAGAAGGGAACTACAATTATCCAGGGCCCAGGGCCGGAGGAAAAAGCCAAGTTTTCATAGATCTTCCGAAAGCCAACTGGATTGGGACTTGCCATATCTTAGGGCAGGGGTCAGCAACCTGCAGCTCTGGAGCTGCATGTGGCTCTTTCATCCCTCTGCTGCAGCTCCCTGTCACTCAAAATATGCGTCACAATTGCCAATGTATGACACCTGCCGGCACGCGGTTTATTGAGCTTTTCAACCTCCGTTAGGCCAACCATGGTTAAATCCAAGAAAAGAAAAGTTTCAGAAGAAAACAGAACATTTAATTCAACTACATATGCTAGTTTTGTGGCCGCTCAAAAAATAGTCAGACACGGGAAGGGTTTCGTGGCTCCCGGTGTTTTCTT